GTGGTGGTGGTTTTAAATTGGAGAAGATTCAGATAAATTTGTTATTATAATGGAGGGAAGTCCCAGGAGAGAGTCAGACTCAGAAATACAGTTAGACTGTTGGAACTCCTAGCTTTACATTTCTTTAAGTGTGCTGTTGGATGATGTGAGTGTGTCTATCCATCATCCGTAGACTTAAGTATCTACTCCTGTATTGATCTCTATCAGGGTTATTGTGTTGATCGCAATTTTTTATAGGAAAAACTGAAGGAAAAGAAGCCTACTATGACGGAGGCATTGACACAAACTCTTCAGGCAATGCACAAGTCTGGATGCTTGAACCTCGCTGACATTGTTGAAGGCAAGATTTATTTATGTTTTTAATTATTATTGCAAATAGTCCTTATTTTTTCAAATTGTTTTGCAAGTTCTGAATCATACTTACCTTTCATGAGCTAGAGGGGTGTTCAATCGGTCGAAACCGAACTGATTGTCTAACATGAAACCCGAAAACCAAACCGACATGTGGATTGCTTCGGTTACCGGTTAGCCGGTAAAATGGAGAAATTAAAAACAAATTGAAAAAATTTCCAAGTCGTGAGTTACAAAAATAAAAATAGGTAGATAATTAATAATTTTACCAAACCAAACTAAAACACATAAAGATAACTTGTCCAAAAATACAAGTTTATCAAGTTTCATACACATCACACTAGGTGTCCCAAATGTATCAAGTCTTATATATGTACACACATGATTAAATATACGCAGTATTGTGGAGACGAGCATATTTTGAGAAATGCTGAATTGGTATAAGCGATTAAGCTAGCTATTGTATTTTTATTTTAATTTGATTATTTGTATAGGAAAAAAATGGGCTTAGGCTAGCTAGTAAGGGTGTGATTGGATATGGATTTGATTGGTTTTTTATTAGTGTTTTTTAACCGCAGTTAATTTTAGAAAAGGTGGTATGAGTAGTTATTAGTGAGAATTTATGTTTAAATTAAAATATTATTGAAAATAAAATAATTAAAGTTGATTGGATGTAAAAGTAGGAAAAATAATTGGAAATGATGGTTAATTAAAATTATATGAGTAGATGAATAGTGAAATACAGATGATGTGATGTAAGAATGATTGGTTCATATTATTTAATTATATTGATAACATCGAGGATATTGGGGTTGAGTTAAAGTTGAGTTAAATTTGAGTTTTGATTAGTTTTTTTGGATGAGTTTATAACCGATCACACCCTAAGCTTTTGTATTTTCTTCTAAATTCTTTTATATCTACAAGCTTAAAAAAAGGGCTTGGGTGTAGATAAGATATCATTATGTTGGGCTTTGTAAATTTATTTAATAATGGGTTTTCGGTTTAGTTCGGTTAACCAAGTACTTTTTATCCAAGCTAAATTGAAAAACGAAATGTTAAAAAAACATAAACCGAAACCGAACCAAATATTTGGTTTCAGTTAACCAAAAACCTCTAGCTCTTTGTTCTTGTCATGCATCCTTCTATGTTTTAATTCATGATATTGTTTCAACTCATCGTTTTTCCTTTGTCTTACTATTTTGATTGGAGGTGCATTTACATGTTATTTGAAGTCTATATTGTGTTGTTGGTTGGGATAGCTGTGTCTAGATTTCTACGAATGTAGATCAGCTTTGCAAAGTTTCAGCAAATTATTCGATGTTTGCATAGTGAGGTCTTTTATATGAGGAACCTTAAGAATGAACTTCTGTCTTGCAGATATTAAGACAGCAGTAAAAAATAAAGTTCCTCTAGTGAGGTCACTGACGATGAATTGGGTTACGTTTTGTATTGAGACGAGCAACAAGGCTACTATAATTAAAGTGCACAAGGAATATGTTCCAATCTGCATGGAGGTAAGGGAAAATATGGCAGAATCTGCATGCTGCACTACCTCGTACAACCATTGTTTTGTTACTTCCATTTCAAACCATCTTCAATCATTATATTTCCATTCACATTTTCAAAGTTCTTTTCTCATATAGAAAAAAAAATTCCAACTGAAATTGTATCCATTAACATCCAACAGTCACATTGGTTTTACTTACTATTTACTAATCATTTTATTTGATGTGAGTGAGACATGTTCTGGTTCTATTCAAGTGATTTTCATTGACCATGTTGTACAAAATTATAATTGGGTGAACCTGCCGATGAAAAAAATGGGTGAACTTGGTTTACTTCTGATTTATTTTGGTTTATCTATTTTGTTGTAGGCTTTAGGTACTATCAACACTTCAAGAGTTTTTTATTTTATTTATTTTATTTTATTTTTAATAATTTTCCTTTTTTCTCTCTGATTATTTTTGGGTTTTTGATTCCCCCATCAAGCTCTTATTGATTTACTTGGATTATGCAGTGCCTTAATGATGGGACACCTGAAGTCAGGGATGCAGCTTTCTCAGCTTTGGCAGCTGTTGCTAAGGTATAATTTTCAGGATTTTTGTTCGTCTACTTTTCAAGTGTCTCACTTTCTATGACTGATATACCAGTCTTACGGTGTAACAATTTTATGTAGATGGTTGGTATGAGACCCTTAGAGAAGTCTTTGGAGAAGTTGGATGATGTTAGGAAAAAAAAGTTATCTGAAATGATTGTGGGTTCAGGGGACCCATCCACTGTTCCTAGCTCAGGTTTGGATTTAGTGCTAGTCATCCTTTGTGATTCTTGTTGATGCTTATTACTGATTACGTTTTTCTAACATCCCATTACAATGATGTCAGCTGCAGCTCAATTATCTGGGGGAAGTATGCCTAGTACCGAGGTCAGTAGAGGTTTTATATGCTAAAATAACTTTCCAATTATTTTACTTAAAAATGGATTCACTTCAAAAGTGATTAAGGTGACCAGTTAGCTTGGGAGAAAATAGCCCTTCAAAAAGAAAATTCTTGTTCCTCCCAGTTGATGCTGCAAAGAGAAAAAAAAGGAAATATACTCTTTTGAGCATAGGCTGTTTCTCTAAGAAAAGATTCTTGAAATTGATGGAGAATTGTATGTGACATTTGTCTGCCCTTTTCCGTTTCTACAAATTGTTTAAGAGGAAAAGATTGAGATTCAATGGGCTACACATCATTTTGGGCTAACCATTTTGTTAACCTTTTCTTCTTTACCCTTTATGCAGGCCTCAGATGGATCATTTGTTAAAAGATCAGCAGCTAGCATGCTCAGTGGGAAGAAGCCTATTAATGCAGTTGTAAGTTGTTTAATTATTTGATTCTCTCTTCCTGTTTGCCATGGTAGACACAGTCTCTGAAAAAAATGAAATCAGTCTGCTGCTTCAATGTTTTGTTCTCCAACTGATGCATGGTAAATGACTATTGACTCTTTTTTAAACTATGCTTCTGGTTTGTAAGCCTGTTGCGTCCAAGAAAACGGCGTCAGGGAAATCTGGTACCAACAAGAAAATTGATGTAGGACTATCAAAAACTCCTAAGCCCTTGGAACAGGAAGAAATTGAGGTAACAATTGACTTGCTTGCATTATACTCTTTCTATTATGACAACAACGACTGTACTGGACATCCATATATATTTTATTTTTCCTGATCCACTTGGGTTTACAGCCATCAGAAATGAGTTTGGAAGAGATCGAAACCAGATTAGGATCCCTTGTACAAGCAGATACAATTACTCAGTTAAAGAGTGCTGTTTGGAAAGAGCGGCTTGAAGGTTTACACCATTTAATTAATGCTACTTTATTAGCTATACAGAATTTGGTCAAGTAGGTCTCTTTTTCTTATGCTCTGTTTATGGACAAAACTTGTTGCTTGCGGAGCTTTGAATTCATGCCTTTTGTCAGTATGAACCTTCTTTCTTCCTATTGTGAGAATGCTTATGGTACATTTACCTCCTACATCCTTCTCTCTTTCTCTCTCTCTCTCTCTGTGTGTGTGTGTAGTGTATTATTTTCTTGGAAAATGTGCAATAGGACTTGGGTTTCGTGAATGAAGAATTGAGATTTTCTTAAGAACAGTTTTGGTTTTTTTTTTTTTTGCTCCAGCAAGTGCGTTACTTATTCTTTACTTGATCCTTTGGTAGTCCAAATCTGTCATGGAGTTAGATGAATAATCATGATTACATTCATTCTTACCTATTGGTTTTAGCTTTGAAGTAATTTTGTGAAATGAACTGCCACTTTTAAAATTTGTTTATTCTTGTGAGACACTGGGTTGATTTGTAACTCATAAATTTCCATTGCAGCTATTGTGTCTTTCAAAGAGCAGGTTGAAGCACTAAACAACCTTGATTCATCTGTTGAGATTTTGGTCCGTTTACTTAGTGTTGTTCCTGGATGGAATGAGAAGAATGTACAGGTATACTTTGTTTGCACAAACTTATGTTTAATGGTTCTTTTATTTAGTACATGGATTTGTTGTCTCATCCACTGTGAGTTGTTGATGAGCAGGTCCAGCAACAGGTTATTGATATCATTACGCACATAGCTTCAACATCGTCGAAGTTCCCCAAAAAATGTGTTGTGCTTTGCATACTAGGTCGGCAACGCGCATGATTTTACTATATTAATGTCAATGCCTTTATATATGGTTTTATTAATTTCTCTTGGTTTTCTAGTTTTTTCTTCTTATCAGCATCTCTGTTCAGTGGTAGCTAGAAAAATATATAGGTTGGGGCATTTTGGAAATTTAAATGACGAGGTTGTTGTTTCTTAATGTACTTAGGAATGAAAGTTTTAGGGCCTCAACAGTTTTGATTTGTTGACAGGCATTACCGAGAGAGTGGCTGACATTAAGACTCGTGCTCAGGCCATGAAGTGCCTTACTACCTTTTGTGAGGCTGTGGGCCCAGGGTTTATTTTTGAGTGGGTAAGTTCTTTCTTCCCAGAAACATCTCATATCCCCTATTTTTTGGTTGCATAGGGTAATTATTTTTATAAAAGGATCGAAACCAGTTATTTCGCCTATTTAAGTATTTGGATACCACAATTATTGTGATAAGTCACAGCTTTAAAGTTTTGTGCTCATATGAAGGAAAATTGATAATAGATGACATTGCCAATCAATTTGGCAAACACTAAGATGTGTACACATACCATGTGTCGTCTACTGCAACATATTGCAGTAGTTGAGTATTATTTTTTTCCATGAGGCGGTTCGTTAATTGTGGCAATTTAGAAGAGCACTTCCATGGGTGTTTCTCAAATGGCATGTTTGAGGACGAGTATGAAGATGATGAAAATGAACAATTAAATCAATATGCTCTTTCTTCTGTTTGAGATCCTATGTCAATGACTTTGCCTGGTGGTGTCTCCAGTTGTTGGTAGTCGAACATAAGGAACTATATATGAATCATGGCAATAGGTGGTTTTCTTCAGGCAGTGTGAGCTGTAGTATTTGTTCATTTTCTAGTATCGACATGTTTTATGCCTCATTTTATTTTGTACTGTTTCTCTCTTTTTATCAAAATGTTTGTTCATTGTCTCGTTATGACTGATTTCAGCTGTATACAATTATGAAAGATCACAAGAATCCCAAGGTCCTTAGTGAAGGCTTGATGTGGATGGTTTCCGCAGTGGAGGACTTTGGTATTTCTTTTATCAAACTGAAGGTGTGCGCTACTATTTGCACAAACTTGTAGTTTTTCTTTGATTTGTTTTCTTTTAATAATAACATGATGATTTGCCAAATGATTCTAAGATTTATGTTTCTTTTGCAGGATCTAATTGATTTCTGCAAGGATATTGGTTTACAGTCTAGTGCTGCTGCAACTAGAAATGCTACAGTTAAGCTAATTGGTTCTCTACACAAGTTTGTTGGACCAGGTAGTACAAGTTACCTTACATTGTTTTACCATCCTCTGTTCAAGTTTCTAATAGCGTTCTCTGCCACCCTTGTAGATATTAAGGCGTTCCTCTCAGATGTTAAACCTGCTCTGCTAAGTGCTCTTGACGCTGAGTATGAAAAAAATCCTTTTGAAGTAAGTTTGATTGAAATAGAAACTGTGCCCTTTACATCTGAAAATTTGAATCTATTTGGATGACCTTACCACCTTAATATCATTACGTACAGGGAGCATCTGCAGTTCCAAAGAAGACTGTGAAAGTAACTGATTCTACATCATCCTTGGCTGCTGGTGGAGTGGATGGTCTTCCACGTGAAGATATTAGTGAAAAGATCACTCCGACCTTGTTGAAGGGCCTGGAGAGTTCGGACTGGAAGGTAGTGTATATATCGACATGCACTGATACACAGGCATCAAGCTTGTAAACATAATTACTTACTTCTAGACCTCTAGTCACGCTGACTTCATTTTTGTCCTAGATACGCTTGGAGTCCATTGAAACTGTGAATAAAATTCTGGAAGAGGCGAACAAGCGTATTCAACCTACTGGAACTGGTAGATAGTGCACATACTGATTGGTTTATGAAGTATTGGAATATCATGTAATGTGTTCCCTTACATTTCTTACTTCCAGGAGATTTATTTGGAGCCCTACGAAATCGTTTGCACGATAGCAACAAAAATTTAATCATGGCAACCTTGAATACAATTGGTGCTCTTGCTTCTGCTATGGGTCAGCCAGTTGAGAAGGCGAGCAAGGTTCGGTTTTGAAACTCTCTTCTCCGTATGATGAATTAAAGGTTGTTGCATAATTTTTATATTTGTTAATTGTTATTCATGCAGGGTCTTTTGTCTGATATCTTGAAGTGTCTTGGTGACAATAAGAAGCACATGCGAGAGTGCACTTTAAGTACCTTAGACGCTTGGCTTGGAGCTGCTCATCTTGATAAAATGGTCAATAATTATTCTCGTCAAGTCTACAACCAGTTCCTTCCATTTATGTTCATATATTTTTTAACTTCGTAGTCACTTTCCTTTAGGTCCCTTACGTTACAGCTGCTCTCGCGGATGCTAAGCTTGGTGCAGAAGGGCGCAGGGATCTCTTTGACTGGTTGTCCAGACAACTTGGTGGATTAACTGATTTTCCTGATGCTATTCAGCTGCTTAAACCGACTGCTTCTGCTATGACGGTACTTCTGCAGCAAAGTTGAATTTGTTCATTAATCCTCGTGGATTATCATTAGCCTTTATTCGAGATTTTTTCATGAGATGCTTATGTTTAAACGTCTAGGATAAATCGGCAGATGTTCGTAAAGCTGCTGAAACATGCTTTACTGAAGTATTGAGGGTGTGCGGACCAGAAATGGTATGTATTCGGCTTACTTTTGAGAGTAGTGTTCCCACTAAAAGCACAGTGACCTATTTTTGTTTTTTCTTTTATAGGTGACGAAGCATTTGAAAGATTTACAAGGCTCTGCCTTAGCTATTGTTGTTGAAAGGCTGAAACCTCATGGGGCATTCCATGGTATTCTGCTTCATGCTATGTACTAAAACCATTGCCCTAAAGATAACGGTGTTTTTTGCTTGCAATACCTTTATTAAACTGTTAGGGTGCTTGTTGGCTTGCAGAAAGCATTGAATCTGGTAGATCAATTTCAGCAAGTGTATCATCAAAAAACACCTCAAAGTTTGGAAAATCCAATGGTTATGGTGACCGATCACGGCATGGAACCAGAGCTGCGCCTTCAGTATGCATTCATGTTATTAAATTGCTTAGTATTTTGTCGTTACATACTTTTTTATTAAAATCCTGATTTTACAGAGAGCTGTTCCTACCAAGGGTTCAAGACAAGAGACTGTGATGTCTATTCAAGACATCAACATTCAGTCACAAGCTTTGTTTAATATTAAGGACTCAAACAAGGTATGGCCATCCGTATTCCATTTGACACAAAATGCATCAGTTAATCTCTATGGATGCAGCAGATGTGAACTGGATGAGTACTTGTACAGGATGATAGAGAAAGAATGGTTGTCCGCAGATTCAAGTTTGAGGAATTACGTTTAGAGCAAATTCAAGATCTTGAGGTTTCTGGTTATTGACCATTTGTTGTTTTGGTTCCGTTCTGTTCTTTATCTGCATTCATGGTTTCGTATTATAATTAAGGGGACCCATATTTGTCAAAATGAAAAGAGATTATATAGGTTTTAGACGTGATTTGCAGTGTAGTAAATGGGACAGAAAGTGTAATATTATTAAGCTTGATGGAAGAGGTGCTTAAAATAAGGCTAGTTCTTGTGATGATGTGAAGGCTGTTTTCTTTGAAATGTTAGTAAATGTTACTGTGTGTTTTTTTGACAGAATGATGTCATGAGGTATTTCAGAGAGGATTTGCATCGAAGGCTGTTAAGCACCGACTTTAAGAAGCAAGTTGATGGGATTGAGATGCTGCAGAAGGTTTTCTTAACTATTAATTTAAGATTATTTTAGCATGGCATCTGAATGTGCAAATTTTAACCTTGCATTTTTGGCTTTTCAGGCTCTTCCATCTATGGGAAGAGAGTTTGTTGAAGTCTTAGATATACTCATGAGGTGGTTTGTTTTGAGGTTCTGTGAGTCCAATACGTCATGCTTATTAAAGGTTTGTCAATTGATGTCGTGAATGTATTTTTATGGGGTATGCATTGGAACATTGGTCTATGCTTACCCAGTTATAACCATTTGTATTTCTGAAGATATTAAATGACCACTTCTTTTGAAGTGAACTTTTGTGTATTGTGCAAGACTGGGTATGAGTAAACTATATAATAAATAATTAAATACGAAATTCAGGTGTATGATATTATACAATTAGCCTAACTGGGTGCTTTTCATTATTCTCTGTATTATTGCATTCAACTTGCCTCCCACATTCATTTTATTTCTTTTGTTAATAAGGTGCTGGAATTTCTTCCTGAACTCCTGGACATGTTAAGGAATGAGGGCTACACAATGACTGAAGCAGAGGCAGCCATTTTTCTTCCTTGCTTGGTTGAGAAGGTATAACAATGGTAGCTTGTACCAGACGCGTTTCCTTTTCTAGCACTTGTTCAATCTTTTAGTTGGCAACCTAGTTTTTGAGGTTTCATCCAACTAGAATAGTTGGTCTGTGTCTGTCTATGTGTTTAGTGAACTTGACTGATTTGCATCTTCCATGTTTGACAACAATTCTTGCATCTTTATATGTAAATATTTGATATTTTTTTGACTTGTTTTTATTGTTTATTTTTGGCTACAGGCTGGACATAACATTGAAAAGGTTCGAGAAAAAATGCGGGAACTGATGAAGCAAGTTATTCACTCATATTCTGCTGCAAAAACCTTTCCCTATATTTTGGAAGGTCTGCGTTCTAGAAACAACAGAACAAGGATAGAATGTGCTGATCTTGTCGGATTCTTACTGGATAATTATGGTGCTGAGGTAATTATTACTACTGTTATATAATAATAATTATTGCTTTTCGGTTTCTCTACATGTTGATGTTTTCCTTTTCTCTTGTCAGATAAGTGGGCAATTAAAATCCTTGCAAATTGTAGCAAGTTTAACTGCAGAGAGAGACGGCGATACCAGGAAAGCTGCTTTAAATGCTTTGGCTATAGGATATAAAATTTTAGGTGAGTTTTTATATCTTTCTTACGAATGCAAATGACATCATGAGTATTAATTAATGTTGAACATTTTTTGTTTTAACCGCCTTGCAATAATTTGTGTATTAGGTGATGACATTTGGAGATATGTTGGGAAGCTTACTGAAGCGCAACGAAGCATGTTAGATGATAGATTTAAGTGGAAGGTTGGTGTACTTTTTTCTCTATGCTGTTTGTTTTACCTTTTCTGCTTCCCCTATGGCAGTCGGTAGAATTAGTTTTATTTTTCAGGCCCGCGAGATGGAGAAGAGGAAGGAAGGAAGGCCAGGTGAAGCTAGAGCTGCGCTAAGGCGCTCAGTGAGGGATAATGGGTATGTTTCTAATCGAGACCCTGTAGGACCTTGAGTATTTTGTGTACTCAATCTGTAAAGTGTGAGACCACAAGGGCATATCAAGTTGTGATTGGATATATAGGTTTTTTTCAAAAAATTGTCGAAGAAAAAGTTGATTGTAGGAAATATGGAATATTTGAGATTGCGAATGGATATAAGAAAAACATGTAATTCTGGGAGTCAATGCGATATGAAAATAAGAAAATTTTAATTCGTAAATCGTAATGACCAGTGTTATCAAATGCGCGGTATGGTGTAGCGAATTTTTGACAACCGCCAGGCAATATTTGTGAAGGATGGTAGTTATGGCGGCGCCATAGGCCGCCATTTACTGCCATCCGCCATTAATAACATTGGTAATGATTGGTACTTAGATATGTTTGAGTGAGTGAAAAGATTTTTTTTTGGAATATATATTATAATGATCGACTTTTATTCTTTAATTATGTCAGTAAAATTGTAGAGAAAAAACTGAAATGAAATGAATAATATTGTTTTTTAACTTTTTCTTTTTTCTTTTTTCTTTTTATTTATTTTTTTTTTGTTTCCATTCACAACTTGAATGACAAAAATAAAAATAAAAATGTGAACTCTGCTTTTAGGAATCTATCCTATAAAGGATTGTTCTGGTCTATTGTGGAAATTAGTGAAAAAATTTCTATTATCCAACTGCCACCTTGGTATCTAGTTTTATTTTTCTTTGTTGAGCATATTGTATTTATGCCAGCCTATTAGAGGTGTTCAAAAGTACATATAAATTTGGTCATTCTTTTACCATTAAAATTTGACTTATTCTTTTTCGACTTTGTAGTTCGGATCCAGCTGAGCCAAGTGGAGAAGTTTCACGGTCTGTTAACGTGCCTATGTTCAACCGGTATGATTTTTACTTGCTTAATATGCACAAGCACAGGCTGACGGTGGTCTGATATTTGATACTTAATCTCCACCACTGTTATTGGATACTTAATCTCTTATTAGCAAGATTTATTTTGGTGGTTGCTGAAACCAGCAATAATAAATTCCTACTCATGAAAATATAAAACTTAGCTGTAGTATTGGGTCAAGTCCACAGAGAATGAAAATAATGTAAGATATAATCCTGCAGTTTCCTTGTTAGTGAAGTGAACTTCCTTGCACTTTCATTACACTTTCATTGCATTTTATTTGTAGCTTCCTTGCAGCTGCAAAGGACCTTCATAGCAACCCCTTTAGGCTGAATTTTCAGCTTTAGTAATTTCTAGGAAAGTGTTGAATAGTAGCTTTTAGTTCCTATAAATAGGGATGTAGTTTTTCATTTGTAAAAATACACAGAA